TTAGTCAAAGGGTTTGATAATTTCTGCAGACTGGAAGTAAGCAAGGTGCTCTACCGGTTGAAGTACCTAATTAAGATGAGGTTATGAATCATAAATGAGAAATTAGCCTTCTGCTGAGCACATCTCTGAAACACTTATTCATATTGCCATCATCTTTTTTGTTTATACAAAGGTATTAATTATGTTGCTGGGACGTGAGGTGATTCAGGAAATGTTCCTAACACACAGGCACTGCAGGGCCTCATGCAATGTTGAAATACCAGTAACACCCAGATGGGGGGGATTTTAGTGGAAATATTTGTTGCACAGCTAGCTCATGAGCACCTGAACTGTTCCTGCAGTTCAACTAATCCAGTGCTTTTCTTCTGTTGTTATTGGAAGCTTGCCCCATAAATCCAGTGAAGATTATAACTTTAAGTTGTTGCTTTCTCTTTTAACCTGGCAAAGGAGTGATTTCTGAGTTTGTCAGACCTTCTGAGTTTTACCTACTTTGTTTATTGAGAGTTATAATGTTTTTTGTTGTGGGTTTGGTTGTTGTTTTTTTTTTATTTAAAAGGTTAGGAATGCAGGCTAAAGTAATGTCTTGGTATTCAGTACAGATAACTAATGTCAGGAGATACTGCACATGTTTGAAGGAGGAAGGGTTAGTGCTCTATCATTCTGCCTTACAGTCCACTAGTGTTCTTTCTGGGAAGAATTCTGTAGTGCTTAAGTGCTGAGCAGTATGGAGACACAGAGTAAGAGGTGCAGGTAAATGGACAACACAAGTACTTTATCAGTGCTTGCTGTCTCACTAGATTGTTTTTAAGGAGTAATAAATTCCTGACTGATTTGATTTAATTTACACACCACTTAGCATAAGGGGAAATGTAACATGTTTCTGTACTGTAGGAATGGTAACTTTGCTTTATTGAAGGAATATCTAGTATTCTTAAATTGCTCTTGTCCGAAAGAGCCTGATATTACTACTTCTTGAATAAAAGCATGTAACAAGCAATACCTTTTGTGGGCTTTGTGGTTTTGGTTCTGCAGTCGAGCAGCAGTGGAGACAGCTGATCATTAGTGCTCTGAAGTCTCTGAGACTGTTGAAGCATAACTGCAGGGAAGATACTTTGCTGACTTGGGGAAGGATGAGAACACCAATTAAGAATTCACTGTAGTTCGTGTGTCTGGATATTCAGCTTCTGAAGAATATTTTCTTTTATTATTTATTTTGTTTTAAGAAGAAAATAATTTTAGTTGTGGTGCTGTTTGTGCAACCTTTAGGTGGTTCCCCCCTCTCTTTTCCTGTAGAGATTTTTATTGCTGGACATCTCAGTTGAAGTTGGCACTCATCATCAAATCTGAACTTCCTGCTCATAGACGTGACCTTCCCCACCCTTTGTCAACTCAGTGCTGACAAGGGAGGACACTAAAGAAGGAAATTCTGAGTCCTTTAGCTTGGACAAGAACAAAGTCTTGCTTTGAGTTGAATTAACCACTGGAAGAAAAACAGAGTTGAAGCTACCTGCTTATTAGATAATCAAATGATGGTTGTTTTGTTGTAAGTTAATAGTACACCTATTGGTTTTCCTTCAGCAGGTTTTCCTGTCCTACTGTAGTCAGCTTCCTTCAGCTGTTCTTAATTTGCTGCAGTTATGAGCTGAGGGCAGAAAGTCCTGACTGAGGTACAGGCTTCCAAGTTATTTCTGTGACACTGCCCTGCTGAAATAGCAGCGAGGTGAGGTTGTAACTGCCACAGTGGAAATCCTGCTGTCCATCAGGTGGGACCTATGGAGTCCTGCTGAGGCAGGAGCAGTCTAAATGTTCCAGTAAGTTCAGTCTGGCAATGTCATGCTCTGCAGCTGTGTGAGAGGTGAAGCTTAAAATGGACAATGTGAACAGGGAAGAGACTGAAAGTAACAGAAGCCTTGGGGTAGAAATGCTGTTTTCCATCTACTGGTTAAAATATCAGAGGTCAAGTGGGAAGAGTTTTTGCTGTCAGCAGTAAGGTAGGGAGAATGTGTTGGTGTGAATGTGCGTGTTTCTGTGCTACCTCTATTTCCATCCCCTATGGATTCATGGTGTTTCCAGGGCATTGAAGCTAAACTGCATGAAATTGGGGAACAGAGGCCACTGTAATGTGATACAGTAGCTTGCAATAGGAAAATGGTGCTTGTTATTAGTGGTAATAGTCCTAGTGTATGTTAAATGCTTAATTCAAGATCCCACCTCAGGGGCTCTTTTAGGAATAGCACCTTTTCATTCTTGACCAGTAGCTGGTTTAGCAGGGAAGGTGCAAGATGGTGGAGCAGAAAAGGGGAACAGACCTGGAAATAAGACTGACTTTGACTTACTCTGAACATTTCCTAAAGGGTCACCTATCAAAGTGTACAGCAGTCTGTTGGTGAAGAAGAGTTTGGTTTTTTCCCCCTGACTTCACTTATTTTGACTTTTCCTTTTTCCCTGGAATGTTGCCCCTTCATCGTCTGAAATGGAAGGGGCAAATGTCTTTGAATCAAATAGGCATTATGCAGCTAAGGTGCCTGCAAGCACTGGAATTTGCATTTAAAAGAAAATTTCAAAGCATAAGCAGTAAACAAATGTCCTGCTTTGTATGCATAGAGCATTTCTCTTTTTAAAAAGCTGTTGTAGAATTAGTGTAATGCCTGAAAATATTTTAATGTGTTAAAGTCAGTAAATAGCAAGGGGGCATTCAGTTTGGGGAAGAGATTTTGCAAAACTTTATGCTGCTCCTGCCCCTTAGTATCTTATTACATTCCCTTATTTTCCTAATGGTCTTATCAACTTGGTTACATTGTTGTCCTTAAAAAGGGAATGTCGGTAGCTTTGATGTGTATCCCGGGGAACTAGCACATCTTTAAAGGTTTTATTTTGGATTCAAGTCTCTGGTTCTACTTGAGGCTTTATGCAGATGTTTCTTTTATAAGCAGCTGTGTGTATTTCTGGTACCTTCTCTAGAGTGAAAAGTCTTTAAGTGAAGTTACTTGGAGTCATCATTCTGCCACAGAAACCTTGTAAAAAGCTGTTTGAGTTTCAAGCAAAGTGTCTTCTCATTTGAGCTCTGTGTCCAAGGTTTGAAGGGCAGACAGATTTCACAGCTGAGCCTGGTGTGAGATGAACGTACCTGCTGGAACCGTTGCACAACTGCCCATGTGAATGGCTTCATTTAGCTGTGTGTGGGACAGCACATCATGTGCATGTCTGCAGATGGGGCCAGGCAGTCTTCAGATTGCACCAGAAACCTCAGAATGCAGGGGAAGCTGATAGGCTTCCATTTTAAGGGCTGGTAACCCTAGTGATTGCTGCTAGTCCTGATAAAAAGGTGAAAATCATGTCTAATTTCTTCGGTAAAATGGCAGAAATTCACAGCACCAAATAGTACCAGTGGCCTTGCATTCAGTGTTACTGAGTGACAACAAGTCAGTTGTCCCTTAAGATATGCATGCCTTAAAAACAAGTTCATGTGTGTCAGAATTCAAGACAAAGAGGGTTAGAGCAGATATTTTTGTAATCCAGGGGCCTGCAATAATGGAGTGTCCTGTGGAATTTTCTGCTGTTACATGGAGGTTGTCAGTGCACTTGAATTTTCACAACAGCAGCTGAAACAACTTGCCCTTGCAGGTGATGCAGTGCTGCTCTTCTCTGGAGAAGCACTGATGTAAACTGTGGGCAGTCTTGACTTGACAGCTGTGCTGACAATCCAAAAAAAGATGCTTTTTGCACTAGACAGATGTCTAAGTGTTGGAAATTTTCCAGTGAGAAGCAGAAAAGCTTTATTCTTCCAGTATTTTCATGTCACATGAAGTATGGTTTAAATGAAAGGAATGTTTTCTGATGGAGGATGTTATTGCAGAGCTTTTTAGCATGCAGAGGATTAGGTTGCTAATCACCTCTCTGAGTAACTAGATTCTACCAGTTGTACAGGAAAATTCTTGATGTTGTGAATAGCAAGGCATAGTGATTAAGGAAACTAGTTATTTTAACTTTATTTGATATATTTGCATGGCACAACTAGTGCCAGAATGTCTCCTGTATTTGCATGTATTTTGTTATAATATTTATCAAATACAGATGTGGCATTCGTTGATTTTATTTTTTGAGGGAGAGAGATATTGTCAAGGATCTCATCTAAATGAAAAGCAATGAGGAGAAGATGATATTAAAAAACATGCAGTCTAGCAGACAAGTCTTTGTAGCAGAAGCTATACCTGGTATTGTACACTGTGGAGTTTTGTCCTGGAAGTTTTAGGTAACATCAGTAATTCTTTAAACGCTGAAACTTGCAAGCAAATCCTTCTCTTGACAGAAAACTATAAAGTTGATTTTACAAAACCTTTTCCCTTTTTTAGGAAACAAATTGCCTTTTTTTTGTTGTTGTTGTTTGTTTGTTTGTTTGTTTGGGGGGTTGTGTGCACACAGTGTTTCATAGCATCTTCTGTGGTTGAATTCTTCATGACTCCTTCATTCTGTGAAAATTCACTTGGATGGTGAAGAGAGTATTTCTTATAGCAGGCAGGCAGAAGCAATAAACAGAATTCCATGCTCTTTTAGGGTCAGAGAACATGACCAGGGATGGTTCATGCCTTATACTGCACTGTGACATGTGCTTTTGGAGGCATGTGCAGTATTAGGAATATTTTATGCTAAAAAGCAGATAGTCACGGACACCAGGTCAGCTTTATGAGTGTGAAGATGGACAGAGGCTTACAGCTGATGATACTCCACGTGTTCATACTTGCTGCTTTTATTGGTTTTTTTATAATGATGGGCATAGATTTTGTTTGTACTTTGCCTTGAGAACAATCCCATTGTTGATCCCTGTTGATCCTGTGGTTACCCATCTCATCTGAACTGAAGCTTCATTAGCAAACACCCCACCCCCAAATTTAAGTGTAATGATGAAGAACATAGCACAGATTAAACATGCTTAAATTTCATGCCATATTTCACTACACTGGATGAAGGATTTGTTTTCTCCTTTCCAGGTACTCTTCCACTCATCAAGATGGAAAGCTCAGACTCTAGTGACAAAGGAAATATTGATCAATCAGAAGCACAACGTCAGAGTCAGCTAGATAGGTTAGATCGAGAGGAAGCTTTCTACCAGTTTGTGAACAACCTGAGTGAAGAGGACTACAGGCTTATGAGAGATAACAATTTGCTAGGAACACCAGGTGGGTAATGCCTGTGTATGTGCATTGTCCTAAAATAGCTTGTTGGTGATTTGCATAATTTTCTCTTCCCTTGAAACTGTTCCACCCATTCAATTGGTGTGCTGCAGTTGTGTTGCATGGTAGGAAGCAGCTCCTTGCTAATTTGTGCATAGTCAAATTGAAGCCATCCTCTGGCTAGAGAAGGGGTAGAGTAGGATAATGTGGTTTAATCAGATACAAAAGTCTAGTGTTTACACAGATTGGCAGCAACAGCCAGATCCTGAGTTGACCTGATTCCTGTTATGGACCCTTATTAATTTTTTATCAAAAAAATAATCTCCCTTAAGCATCTGTGTGAACATTCTGTGCTGGTGAGGTTAAGAGTTTGTAACTAGGTTAAGCAGTCTGGTGCAAGGTTCTGCATGGGCATTTTAATGTCAGTTTTCAATTGACTTAAATTGTCTCTTTATAGGATGATACCTAATTCAAACCAATTCTAATTTAAAACATGACTTCAACTAGTTTCAACCTTTTTCATGCTTGTAAAAGTGTTATCTTAAATATTTTACCCTGGGCAGCCATTTAATTGGCATAGGATGACAAAAATTGCTGTTAAGTTGTAGAGGTTACAGAACCAGAAAGTACATCTGTCTCGAGTAGGTTGAAACTGTTGGATCTTTCAGCTTCAGCAAAGTGCTAAAGTGTTTGAGCTTCCCCTTAGCAACCTGTGTGGCAGTCTCATTATGGCAGGATTTAATTAAGAAAAAAAAAAAGACAAGCAGTGGCTTGTACCTTCTTTAGAAGTTTTTTTATTATGCTTGCCATACGTATGATTTGGAAATATTTTTGGAAAATTTTGCTTATTTTCTAAGGTGAAATTACTGAAGAAGAGTTGCTGAGAAGGCTACACCAAGTTAAAGAAGGTCCACCACAGCAAAACAATGATGAGAATAGAGGTATATACAGTATTTGTGAAAACTCTTAACTTTAGCACCCCGTATGGACCTTAACTTGAGTGCAGGAGTGGAACGAGTTAAGCCTAGGCAGGTGCAAGGTGAGCTTTGTTTCAAAACTAAATGAACTTTATCTCTGATATCTGCTGCAGAGGTCAGTTTGGGACAGATTTCACTCATAAGGCATCTGTTATTTGTATCGAGATGAAGTTTAATTTAGGTTTCTCCCCTCCCCCCCCTTAACTTTTCAATTAAGATTGCATTCCTATTTGCTCCTCTCTGGGGTGCTTTTTGGCAGTTCCTCCATTTTTTATTCACTGTTCTTCCCTTCCAAAGATGCTGTATTGCTTTAATTATCATCCTTCTGTAGAGCCTGGTGGAGGACACTTGGAGCCTGCCACTGAGGCTTATTCTTTAGTGAGATGGATTTACTACAAAGCCATTCTTCAAGGGAGGGGTCAGGACAAACTTAGTTCTCTATTTAGCATTCAATAGACCACTTAATTGTTTGGAAAGGAAAACACAGAATATTGATGTGTTACAGCACCTAAAATGTGACTTAGGATAAGCAATCTGTGTTATTTTGATGACTTGTTTGCTGTGTGATGGCTGCAGCCTGTCTGTACACATTTAAAAAATGTCCACTCCTGCTCCCTTAAAAGAGCTCTGGTAGATAAGGTTGTCGTGCTACGTGTGAAATACAGTAGCACTTAGTAGGATTAAGCACTTCTAAATTGTCACTTGTTGAAGTAAGCAATTATGTTCTTGGAAAAGATGACTCCAAAATTAGCTCAGTACTCTAACGTTGGTAGTTCCCTGTCTTCTCCGCAGGTGCAGAGTCTGCAGAAGATGTTTCAAATGGAGATTCTATAATAGACTGGCTTAATTCAGTCCGACAAACTGGGAATACAACACGAAGTGGGCAACGAGGAAACCAGTCTTGGAGAGCAGTGAGCCGGACTAACCCAAATAGTGGTGACTTCAGATTTAGTTTGGAAATAAATGTCAACCGTAATAATGGGAACACAAATCCAGAAACTGAGAACGAGCCACCTGTAGAGCCTTCCAGCGGGGAGGATTTGGAACACAGCCAAAGTGACTCTGAAATTCCAAGGTCTGAATCGCCATCCATAAGGCAGCCTGGGACAGAAAGGAGCACTTCTGAGGAGCTAACAACTGAGGAAGCTTCCCCTCCTAGAGGGCAGAGGAGAGCGAGGAGCAGGAGTCCAGAACAGCGGAGGACGCGGGCTAGGACTGATAGAAGTAGGTCACCTATTAACCCAGTGAGCGAGGCTCCTCGCAGGTCTCATCACAATACATCATCTCAAACACTTGACCACTCCTCAGTGAACGAAGCTGAGGGAAGCTCTAGAACTAGGCAGCACGTGACTCTAAGGCAGCACGCCGTGGGGACTGAGGCACCAAGCGAAAACGTGGTTCTGTTTTCAACCCCAGAAACAAGACCTGTTCCTCAAGCAGCAGGTTCTTCAGAAACCAACAGCACCAGTGAGTCTGCACCTCCTGGGCAGAGGCCTCCTACCATAGTCCTTGATCTTCAGGTGAGAAGAGTTCGTCCAGGAGAGTACCGGCAGAGGGACAGCATAGCCAACAGAACTCGGTCCAGGTCCCAGACCCCCAACAACACTGTCACTTATGAGAGCGAGCGGGGAGGGTTCCGGCGCACATTTTCACGCTCGGAGCGGGCTGGAGTGAGAACTTATGTCAGCACCATTAGGATTCCCATCCGTAGGATCTTGAACACAGGCTTGAGTGAGACCACATCAGTTGCTATTCAGACGATGCTCAGGCAGATAATGACAGGCTTTGGAGAGCTGAGTTACTTCATGTATAGTGATAGTGATGCAGATCCTAGTGGCCCAACTCCGAATCAGAACGTGGATGCTTCTGAGCCCCAGAATGGAGGTGGTGGTACTTCAAACAATGAAGGTACAGATGTTAGCTCAGGGGAGGTGTATGAAGGTGGTAATGAAGGTGGTTCAACATCTGGTGCCAGACGGGAAGGTCGGAATACGAGGGGATCGGTCACGTTTGAAGAAAGTGGTTCTCTACCATTCCTTAGCCTAGCACAGTTTTTCCTACTAAACGAAGATGACGATGACCAACCAAGAGGACTCACCAAAGAACAAATTGACAACCTAGCCATGAGGAATTTTGGTGAGAGTGATGCTCTGAAGACCTGTAGTGTGTGTATTACAGAGTACACGGAAGGCAACAAGCTCCGGAAATTGCCTTGTTCCCACGAGTATCACGTCCACTGCATTGACCGCTGGTTATCAGAAAATTCCACTTGTCCCATTTGTCGCAGAGCAGTCTTAGCTTCTGGTAACAGGGAGAGTGTTGTCTAAATGAGTTCTGAATTTATGGCCAAGCAGCTGGTGTGATAGTGATGGGCAAAGAAGTCACTTCCTTTATGGCCACTTTTTGAGTGGTGCCTCAATGTATAGTAATGACTCGGAGTGAATCTTCCCTCATGAAAGCATTTTGTCTTAATTCAAGCTTTTAAAATTGGAACGTTTCTTTAATTAGGGTTTTCAAGATTGAGTCAGTTTGGGTGTTAAATTTCACATGTCCAAAGACATCTACCTACTTCAAGTTATTATTTTTTTTTGGTGAAGATTATTAAGTTCTTTCCCCCACCCAGCCCCTGCCATCCCAGTCCAATAAACATTTTGTCCTCAAGATTGTGCTTACGAGGAGTTCTCTGAGAAGTCATCCCAGCTAAGTGTATGTGAGTCACAGAGGAATTTTTGCAAGAGATCCAGCTCTCTGAAAAAACAATATGAACTTAATTCCACACTTGAACATACTTTTAATTTTCATCCTGGGTTAATATTGGATGTGTTGGTGTAAATAACACTAATGTTAGCCCTTTCCCCATCACTATGGCACGCTGTAGGATGAGCTGTTAGCTTAATTGGGATATTTATCTTGTTGTGGAAATATAAGAATTGCCTATGCTTGTTTAAATAAATAAAAAAACCCCAACAATCTGTTTTAAAATTGTAAAGCTTTTTTGTAGAAGCTCAGTACTTTTCCAATGCACTGTTGTACTAACGCATTAAGAATTAAAATTGTACCATGCTTAGAAATCAAGGAGGCTTTTCATACAAAACCCACCACATGGAGAGCAAAGTAAAGACAAGAGAGCTGCTTTTGTAACTGTGTACCTGTCAAGAGCAGTGCATATCTGTACTATTTATGTGAACAGCTACTGTAATATAAAAACAGTTGAATTAGACATCTTAATTGCATTAAAAAAATGGATATGAAATGTTCTAATTGCCGTGTTTTGGCTCAGTAATGCTACTAAAAAAGATGATTAAAAATTAGAAGGGGTTCTAAGTGGCTGGTTTTTTTCTCAGTATGGTTCCTAATATCTGATAATACAAACCAGTAGGCACCAGTTCATTCAGTGAGGTTTATGCCTAATTTTTCTCTTTTACTTTAAATTTGAGGCAACTCTGTGTAACTCTTCAGCAGATGAGAGTTGACAGGTTTATTTTCTTCCCCACCAGCTTCAGCTGTATTAGTAACCTCTGGATCTGTTGAGTGAAGATAGCGATACCAGTCTTGGTAGCCTGGCACTCAAGTGCCATAGAAAAATAACTGTTAACTGGAAAACAGTATTGGTGTGAGCTGAAATTTGAGTATTATAATCTATGATGGGAGTACACTTAAATGTGTAACCAATTCTAAGGATAACATTTTAAAACCCCAATAAACTCCTTATGCTCCTGTTGGACAGATTAAAATCAGTTGAACTGACTTTTAAAATCATGTGTGGGAGATGGAGAATTGGAGAATGTACCTCAGCTCTTGTCAGTGTCAGGGGAAAACATCCTTCACCTTTGGTGACCTGTTCTTTGTTTTATGCTCTAATGATTGTTATTTTTTCTAGTTCACATGTGCAACAGGGAAAGCAATATTTATTTCAACTCTAGGGCAGTAGTTGGGAAGGGATATGAACTGCTCTTGCTGGCTCTGTGGGAAACGTTTGTTCCTCAGATGACAAAACCAAAGCTGACCTGTCTCTTTTTCCTAATTAAACCAGATTTTTGGTGTTTTATAGTGGTGGTTGCATAAACTATAGTCTCAGCTCTAAGCCACTTTAATGTCTCAGCAGTTAGTTAAGGATTCCACGATGTCCTGAAATCCCAGGTTTTTCCTGTGTGTGTGCTCTGTGGTGTTTGGTTCAGTGGGAAACCCTGAGGGGCTCTTGAGCTTGCTTTCCTCCCAGAGGGACACACCATCGTGGCAGAGGGGACACGTGTGTTCTCTTTGAACAGAAGAATGAATAAGCTCATGGGTTTGACTTTTTCTCTCGGCTGTGCATCACCGTAGATCTGCAGTTACCTGTTAAGTTCAGGTGCTGGACTCTATGCCAAAATTTCCTCAAGAAAATAACACTTCTGAATTTCTTCCAGGAGCAAGCACATAGCAGATACCTGCTACCAGCTGCTGTTTCCAGTAGTGTTACTGACTTACTGGGGTGTACAATTTGAAGGAAAACCCAAACCTCTCTGTGAATGCCATGTTAGATATCAAAAGTCTGATGTACATCTCTGAGGACCACAAAGAAAGGAGCCCACTAGTGCTAATGTGTGAAGCCTGGCTGTGATAACATATGATTCAACATCACTTTCTTTTTAATGCTCTGAGTTTCCAGTAACTCTTCAGGTTGGTAGAATCAACTTTACAGTTTTGTTATAGCTTAATAGCAGCATGCCTTAACATTTTATCTTTCTGTAACAATAGCAACTAATAAACTGTTGGCAGTTTCTCAAATGGTACCAAGAACAAATAATTTAACCTCAGTTCAGGAGACCTTGAATGTTCTCTGTGATTTTTACACCTTTTCCAAGGCAGAGCTGGAGGTGCTGGAGATTCATTGCCTGACATCTGGAGAAGCTGGCAGAAATTAAATTGCTGATACAGCAAAGGCCTCTTTCTGTAGCTGAGTCATCTGTCAGCCTCTGGTAATTCAGTTTCTATTCTTTTGAAGTTAGATTGGAGTTGGGGAAAGCCAATATTAACACTTTGGTTCCTAACAAAGCATGAAGGACTCTTAACAAGGTTGACAATTAGCTTCATGTGCATAACCACAGCAGGTTATGAATGGTTTTGGTGTTGAGCATTTGTACTTCTTGCTGCCCTTAGTTTATACTTTATGGGTGTTACAGGAGGGATTCAGCCGCTGAACTCGGCCGTCTTGCCATGGAAGGGGTTAAAATGGCCGGTTTTGTCCGTGTCAGGGGTCTAATGGTTCACAAATGGGCAGTCTGAAGATGCAGAGCCGGCCTCGGTGCATCTGCTGCCTGGGTCACAGTGCCACCGTGTGGGAGCCTCTCCCAGCCTCCCTGCAGCGCCAGGAGAAGGGCACGGAGCAGCGTGCTCGCTTTTGCGGTAGAGACCGTTGCTTTATTTTCCTTTTGAAGGAGGTTCCCTGTTGGTGCCTCAGCAGTTAGCGTGGTGGTTTCTGCCAAACTGCAAACTACCCAAGCTCCTGCTGGGAGTAGCTGGTGTGTGTGAGCTGAGTTCCCTTCTGACAGCACAGACCTGGATCTGCAGGACCTCCACATGCAGCAAGGAGAGCAGTCACAAGGCCAAATCCTGCAACACCCCCCAGTATTTTTATTTTATGAGTGTGCTTGATGATTTGTTGCAGGTTGTGAACTTGTCAGGCCTTACTTTTTCTTTTTTATTTTTATTTTTAATTGAGGCTTAATCTGTTAAAAGAGTGTGTGCCTGGGGTCTGTTAGATTTCCCTTTCACGTGCACTTTTTTATTTCTCTGAGCAAGCTGGGCTTTTTGCAGAGAACTTGTAGGCAGTTAATTGACTTGTTTCAAAAATGATTTGATTAGTGTAGGTACTGCATGCATAGAAATGGCTCATTAGAAGTTTAAAGAGGCTTTGTGCTGATGTGCAGGCACAGCAGTGGCACTGACATGATACGGACCCGTTTGGAAGGAGCCATAATCGTCCATTGTGTCAACTTGCAAACGAATGGATTTCCCACCAGAGTTGGCACAATGGGCCGCAGTAACTGTCAGTCTGGTTTCCTGTCACTCGTCTGGATTATGCAAATGCAGAGAGGCCAGAGAACTGTCTCCCTGGTGTATCTGCAGCCCATGTTTATCTTGAATGGTTGCCTACACAAAGAGGAGGTTCCCAGTGGTCTCATAATAATGAGGGTCTGACGTGAAGATGAGGCAAGAAATATAGTGAGGGCTGAGCAGTGGTTTTTGCTCCCAGCAGAGCGATGAGGGTGGTGTTGAAATCTCCCAACATGCTCCTCACCATCATAGGGCAGTACAAAGCTTTCTCCTTCCCTGTACCTTGGGATCTGTGGTGTTAACATGTCCATTTGTGTCACTGCCCGACACCTCCCGCTTTCCCACCGCTCCTGGCGCGGGGCTGGAGGCAGGGTCTGTAAGCAGAGGTACAGCCATCCTTCCTGAAATGTCTGCCTGCTCCTCTGCCTTCTCCCAGGAGGAGGTGCTCTGGATGAGGGTTGGCAGGAAGCCACCTTAAGGGAATTTAGAACAAATTCAGGAATATTTCCAGCCCTCCGGTACACTGGGCTTTTTGTTTGCTTATCCTTGACTGGGGAGGGAGGAAGGAGGGGGGAGAACCAGAAGCAATGGCAACTTACCCAAAGTACCTATGAGGTGTGGTGTGTTAGAAGAGAAGTTTGCACCTGTTCTACCAGAGCTTCCCAACCTCTTCTTGATGCTCTTCTTCCTTCTTCTGGGGAAGCACACCATCAAGTTTGTTTTGGATGTTTTTTTCTAGTTTGGTTCCCTTAAGCTAAAGTACCTGAGGCCCCTTCCTGAATTTCACTGTCTGCTAGTAAGGCCATGGCTTGGGAAGCCCTGAATTCAACTGAGAATGTAACAGTTTTGTTTTGGTTTGGGGGCTTGGTTTTTGTTTGTTTTGTTTTGGGTTGGTTTTGGCTTTGTTTCTTTTTGTACAGTGCTTTACATCTGTTTATACTGGACTTGTTTAATACAAAATGGTACTCTGAAGTCATAGGACAACAGTTTGACCAGATTTGATAGCTACCAGTTAGGAGGAGTTTGTTCCCTATGTAAGATGTCATAATGCAAATTTAAATAGACTCAATAAAATGCATTAAGTGTTCCTTTTGTGCTCGATCATCACTCCTTGGCTTTATTCTTCTTATGGTGGGATTGTGCTGAAGTAAATGATGGTGGGTGTGATAGGAATTTATTCCCTCCATACGTCTTTCCCCTTGAAGCTGAGCAGAAAGGAGGGAGCCAGAGTGAAATAGAGTTAACTTCTCAGAAGAATGTATTGCTCCTTAGCACATAAAAATAAAGCAATAAATCTCATCATGTCCCAGACTTCTGTAAATCTGGATAACGTGGGATACCAAAGCAATGTCTACAAGTTGATTTTTGAGGAGTAGCTGTGAATTTTGGGTGCCTGTCAGCACCAAGGCCCGGCTGTCAGGGCTGAGGCTCCCCAGAAGTGCACTTTGCAGCAGCTTTTAGGAAGAACTCTCACATATGGCTAAAAGCTTCATCCTAAAATTAGTAGCTGCTCTACGTGCAAATGCTTACTTGAGTGGGAAGGAAATTTTTTAGGGTGTGGGAAGCTGTCTTTATTATCCACTTCCCTCACCTCAAGTCCACTCCTTGAGTAGGAAGCGGCAGGA